TGTATAGCTGTACCGTCGACGATTGAGCATGGGATCCTTGCCGACACGTTGTGCCTGCTGGGTGTGATCGCTCGCTGCAAGATCGACCTTCCGGCGAGGTTCAGGCATGCTGCTGCTATGTAAAGAGAAAGCAAGTAAGACTTGCTGGCCCAGCCTCCAAGAACTCGTTCTTGGTGGAGGAGGCACTCCATCCACCAGTGCGCAGACTGCGGTACAGCCTCCGAAGCCGACTGTCTGTGTGGGTACTGAAACCTGTGCATCGGTATCGTGAGCCTACTTCTCCAAGGGTACACTCATACAGTATGAGCAAGTGAGTGGGAGAGAGAGAGAGAGAGGCAGAGGGAGGGGGAGAGAGAAAGACCAAGTGAATCCAAGTGAGAGGCGGTGTGTGTGTGTGTGTGTGATGAAGAATATTGGTGAACGGCTTGAGCATGTCAACTTTTCGCGCAAGACCCCCCTGTACCCAAATGCCGGGTTCTAGGAAAATCTGTCGTCGGCCTCGCGCAGGGCGCGTAGTGCGAGTTTGATGATGCAGTCAGCCGGTCATCCTTAACATTGCACCTGGGACACGATTTCCTGCTGATACTTGGAAGCGCAGTTGATCATTGCACACGAAATCTGGCATGAACCTAGGCCCTTGGCGTGGCCAGCCCTATTGGCTGTGGAAGGACGTCCGCCCCGCCACCCTGGAAATCGTGCAAACAGCCGGCTAACGTGATGTGAGTACCATGGGGTCTCTTCTAGATTAAAAGCCTTCCAAGCCGCAAGACCAAAGAAACCTGGCTCACGCTGTATGCCTCCACTTCCTGCACCTCCGCGGTGACACCGCAGCCTCGGGGGCTCGATGTCCAACCCTTGCCTCGACCTCCGAGTCTCCCTAAGCCTTTTGAACCTGCGCAAGTCTCTTGAGCAACTACACGTTTGGGGAAATGCCCATTCAAATCATTGTCCGAAAGCTTCGTAGACCTGCAATACTTATCTACATATATATATATATGGTAGCATATATATACATGTATATATATATATAGATAGATATAAATTTGTTTTATACAGATTTTTGGAAAGGTGTGCTCTTTTAGATAGATAGACATATATATATATATTTATTTATTTATTATATATTTATTTATGTTTATCTATACGTATGTTCATATAAAGGAAATCACCTCTGGGTACCCCAGCGGTCGACGATCAATGCCAGGTCCTTTGACAGGCTCAGCGCTGCCACCTGGGAGGGACCCGCTCTCCCCCTTCGTTCCCTCACCCTGCCCTACAAATCCAGAGACTTCAAAAATTGAGACCTTCAGGGTTCTGGATGGTCTCTGGAAGTGTAGGGTCAGATTTCTTGAAGGACTTCAGGTGTATTTTGCGCAGAAAACACTCCAAACTACCCGCAGACGTGCTTTATATACCCTTCATCTGCAATGGCCCTGCCCGGATGATGACAATCATGGCCCCAGTGAGTTAGCGCCACGCTCGTATTCGCAGCGTTTCTCCGAAATCTGCATTTTGGAGTCGAAAAACGGTTGACTGAAAAACTTTACATAACGCCATGAGAAGTAGCATTCATGATAATGCCAACTCAAACGTTTCGACGAAACGCACTAGTTCGACGACAGGTTCACATTTCACCACTCGTCTTCAGTTACTGCCTATACTATAGGTTTTAAGTTTCTGCACATCATCAGATGGGAAAGCTACAAGAAGATTTTTACTAGTGATATGCAATCAGAACCAAGAAGCTTCAAAGACAACTCAATACAGTTTCGTCTCAAGAGCACTGCGATGTTGAGCCCAACAAGAATCGAAACAGATGAATACCGATTTCGGGACCATCACTAAACGGTCGATATCCATCATCATCCTGACCTTGAGATGAATTTGCAAGGACGCCGTTGACACCGTAAAATTCGGTGATGCCGCGTTGACAACATGCGCGTCTTCGAGCCGCCATGTGCACATCCACGTCTCCGCGCGAAAACTTGCGCTCTGCTAGCATCCATGCAGGGTGAAAACTGTAGCGCCATACGAGGACTCAGACTAATCTAAACCCTAAACCCTAAACCCTAAACCAGGCGTGGGGGCAGGTCTTGGAGGTATGGAAGCTGGTGGGTGGAACGCTGGGATGTGCTTAGACAAACCTTCACCCTCCGCCTCGCGAAGGAACTGTTCGGAGAAGCTCGCGTAGTGCTGACGGAGCTGTTCCTGCACCTGCTGGGTTTAGGGTTTAGGGTTTAGGGTCGAACGGATCAGTCACCACAACTTGGGGCATTCCAAGGCCCCCCACCAGCGAAAGGAGAGCCACATGCTCCTCCGCCAGAAGTTGGGCCTGAACTGTCTCTGCATGTCAACTCAAAGCAAAGCCCCCCAAAAAAACTCTAGGAATGTGCAGGGAATTAGCTTCCCCATCTCAGCAATGATCATGCACTTGTAGGAACAACGCCCACTACATGCCGCATCCCTCCCCCAGCGCCATGCAGCCTCACTGTCATCACTGCTCAGAGTCTCCTGTGCCTGCTTGGGGGGGACAGAAGAATATTCACACCAAAGAGTCGCAAACTCGCTGTCACCAAAGTGAACACATGAACGGAAGACGGCCTCGTGTTGGTTGATGGCTATCTCCGCACTGAGAGTGCCTGGGTCAAGATTCTCAGTGTCAGGTGTTTGGGTTCGATGTCGTGACGTGCTATGCATAGCTATAGCATGATGCTGAACCAAGAATGATGAGAAATTTCCAACACAGCTCCCAGCGGGTCCTACCGTAGAGTGCGCATCATGTCCCAAACAAATCTCCTCAGCCAAAAGAACCTCTTGGGCAAAGACACATCTGACTTCTGAAGTCAGCCTCGGCAGCTTGCAGCGCCTCAGCCACGCGAAACCCCAAACCCTAAACCCTAAACCCTAAGCCAAGCATAAGCAATTTCAATTTTGAATTCCTGTTACCCTCCTGCCTCGTGTCTCAGGCTGCTCAAGTAGGATGTTTTCCAAAGTAGGGTCCCTTTATGGGTCCTCCCCGAATAACACAGCCCATGCAACCGTCCCAAAAGGGGGTTTACAAAATAGGGACTCCCCACTATAGATCCCCAAATAGTAGGCTCCCCTTATCATAAGGACCCCAAGACTGGTACCCCCAATTTCGCCAACCCCCAGAAGAACCCCTAAACCCTAAACCCTAAACCCTAAACCCTAAACCCTAAACCCTAAACCCTAAACCCTAAACCCCTAAACCCCTAAACCCCTAAACCCTAAACCCTAAACCCAGACAGGGCCGGGGCATCGAGCTCTTTGGCCTGCAGAGAAGTTGCCCGCTCTAGGATGGCTCTGCCGCCACGGTGGTGGGTTTAGGTTCCGTTTCTTCTCGTTTGTTTTTTTTTTTTTTGGGGGGGGGGGGGGGGGGGGTTGTGGCTTTATGGTTTTGGGGTTTAAGGCGTTTAGGGGTTTAGGGTTTCAGGGTGTTTAGGCTGTTTCGGGTTTGGCTTGGAAGGTTTGTTCTTGTCACCCGACTAGCTGACTCGATGTCGCGCTGCAGGGAACAAGCACGTGGTTCAGGAAAGGACAGAACTCCTGCTTTGACCTGGTCTAACGTTGAAACCAGAACTCCACCTGCCAAGTCACCGCAATCCCGAACTGTCGGAGTTTAGCCTAGGGTTTAGGGCAAGAAGACTGCAGGATTGAGGTTTGCATGCCGGGTGGGCACAGGCATGCATTGTCGCGGCGTGAAAGTAGGCCAGCCCACTACACAAGACTCGTCCACTTTTGCGGTGCGATCTACTTGCAGACTTTCAGTGTTGCGATGCTGGGAAGGCGGCCATTATTTGAAGTTTGGCGTCTACCTGCCACAGACCGGACTCGCTTGTTGAAGCCATTCGCATCATGCCGCACTAGGCGCATGCTGGCCCTATATCCTGCACATGAGTCTCAAAATGTACCAAGGAAATCATGGTCACTCAACTTGAAGGTCATTCCAGCAAGCAAGTTCATCCCACAACTGCATGCAACTGCAACTGCAGTTCCTGGTTGAGAAGAAGCGCCACGGTTGCATCCTCAGCATCCTGGCATTTCAGCTCGGCATCCCAAGTTCCCATAAAACAAGGGACCCCTTCTATAGATCCCAAAAATAGTCGGGTTCCCTCATCATCAGGAGCTCCACAATGAGGTACCCCTAATTTCGGAAGCCCCTATATAGCTGCATGGTCAAGCAGATGCCATTTGTGAGATGCAACTCGCCAGCGAGACTCGTGCGTGGAGTTCGCGGAAGTCTGCAACCACACCTTCTTGGTAAAGTCGAGCCTCACGTGGCAAGATCACGAGGGCCTCTCTTGCAAGAATGCGTACAGGTTTGATTCATTGATCGGTGTACTCAGATTTTGAAATGCACGAGTCGGGGAACCAGCAGGATGCATGAAGGAACCCCAAACTTTAATCCTCCATAACCGCCATAACCTCAACGAAGAGCGACCCCACCCTAAACCCTAAGACCCCACCCCAAACCCTAAACCCTAAACCCTAAACCTTAAACCCATGAGCATCCCCGAATGCCCTTCGCACAGGTCGGTGCCGTCCGCAGTTGGGACTGGATGGTCGCAGACCGTAAGGTGGTGACCTGATTCAGGTTGAGGCAAGAGTGGAAGGGCCAACACTGTTTAAAAAGCAGTCATGTAGTATCTGTTCCCCGTAATATTAAACACCTCCCTTAATCCAAACCCCAGTCTAGGGAATACTAGGAAGTGTACCCACAGGGTTTCGGATCGAACGCCCCTTGAAGGTGGACGTATAGCTAGAAGCCCCTCGGCGCAGCCATTGCGTCAATTTCCAGGTATCCTGCATCCCCTACTTGGCACAGGAACCAGCGCCGCAAGCGTTCGGTTGCCAGGACCAAGTTGAAGGCAGGTTTTCCACTCAGTGCTGGCGATCGGCGCCGGCTGTATTCACACCACGGCACCTGCCCTGTCCAAGCATTGTCTTTGCTCAGCGGTGGCTCACACTGTAGGCGTGTAATGTCCAAGAACAAATGGCAAGAATGGCCTCGGGACAAAGCGTGGCACACCAGCCGCAAGGCATCCGCTTCTTCCTGGTCATACTGGCAGGGATCGCATGCCTCAGCCAAGCCCACTCATACGAAGGACAAGTTCCCAACGTACTCCCAGGTGGATGTTGCAAGCGTGGCTTGTTCCAGAGAGGCCAGGGAGGAGGACACTTCGCAGGTGAACATTCCAGAAGACGACTCCATCAAGGCGCTTCAGAAGGCGTTGAATATGTGCCGACGCCTGGATGGCAAGCTGAGGAAGCTTCAGGAATCCAGAGTGCACAAGCAACAACAATGGGAGGAGTACGAAAGAGCAATGAGGCAGTCTTTCTTACAGCAGAAACGGGCCTACAAAAAGGACATGGAGCAGATCGAAAAGGACGTAGCTGCGACCCATGCTGCAAATGTCGATGCTGCCGAAAAGGTCCGCTTGCTTGCGACGGGAAGTGCGCCGAAACCTCCCACGGTGGAGGAAGAACTAGATGCGTCGGATCGTGCCAGCTGGGATGCCCTTGTTGCAGAGATGGAGGAGGACTCACCTGGTCCGTCTCAGGATGCTTTCATGGCCAAGGCGTTGCAAACAGCCAGCGCTATGGCTGCCACCTCCCAGGCGTATCTCGACCAGGTCCAGCCTCGCTTGGCTACTCCCAAGCGCGCAGCCCCCGCCAGCTACACCAGCTCCACTGGACCGGCGTGCACAGATCCCTACATGAACAGTCCCTCTCTTTCTGTCAGGGCAAACCTCAAGGACTCAGAGCTGGCAGCCAGGTCATCGCAGAGCGCGCAGCCTTCTCCCATGTATATGCAGGGCCTGGCGTGCCCGTTGTCACTGGATTGCATTGCTTTCTGGATGTTACAGTGCTATATGCAGGGCCTGGCGTGCCCTGCTTTCTCGGAGTGTCAGGCTTGGATGGTACAGACATGCATTTTGGGCCTGGCGTGCCCCGTGTGTTGCCCTTTACGGCCTCTGGAAGGCGCTGTCCTCTCGGAGTGCTGGGCTTGGACAGTACAGTTGTATTTGCAGGGCCTGGCGTGCCCGTGGTCACTGGACTGCATTGCTTTCTGGGTGCTACAGTGCTATATGCAGGGCCTGGCGTGCCCGAAGTTTTGCCTCTTACGGCCTCTGGGAGGCATTGCCCTCTCGGAGTGTCAGGCTTGGATGGTACAGACATGCATTTTGGGCCTGGCGTGCCCCGTGTATTGCCCTTTACGGCTTCTGGAAGGCGCTGTCCTCTCGGAGTGCTGGGCTTGGACAGTACGGTTGTAGATGCAGGGCCTGGCGTGCCCGTGGTCACTGGACTGCATTGCTTTCTGGATGCTACAGTGCTATATGCAGGGCCTGGCGTGCCCGAAGTTTTGCCTCTTACGGATTTTGGGAGGCACTGCTCTCTCGGAGTGTCTGGCTTGGATGGTACAGACATGCATTTTGGGCCTGGCGTGCCCCGTGTGTTGCCCTTTACGGCCTCTGGAAGGCGCTGTCCTCTCGGAGTGCTGGGCTTGGACAGTACAGTTGTATATGCAGGGCCTGGCGTGCCCGTGGTCACTGGACTGCATTGCTTTCTGGATGCTACAGTGCTATATGCAGGGCCTGGCGTGCCCGAAGTTTTGCCTCTTACGGCCTCTGGGAGGCACTGCCCTCTCGGAGTGTCAGGCTTGGGTGGTACAGACATGCATTTTGGGCCTGGCGTGCCCCGTGTATTGCCCTTGACGGCCTCTGGAAGGCGCTGTCCTCTCGGAGTGCTGGGCTTGGACAGTACAGTTGTATATGCAGGGCCTGGCGTGCCCGTTGTCACTAGTTTGCATTGCTTTCTGGATGGCACAATGCTATTCGCAGGGCCTGGCGTGCCCGAAGTTTTGCCTCTTACGGCCTCTGGGGGGCGCTGCCCTCTTGGAGTGTCAGGCTTGGATGGTACAGTCCTGCATGCAAGGCCTGGCATGCCCGTTGTCTATGGAATTCGTTGTCCTCTTGGAGCTCGGTTCGCTTCCTTCTTTCTGGAGCAAGCTCTGGCCTGGACTCCGTGGAAGCTCCTCCTGGTGATTGCGCTAGCGTCTCCTGCAGTCAGCGCGTGTTCTAAAACCTTGTGGCCGAACCTTCGCCGCTCGCCCCCGGCTTACTTCTCCAAGGGCAATAAGGGTTGTGAAGACTCAAGCGCAAGTGCCATGCATCATCGTGGTTCCGCGGGTCCGACCCACAGGTATCTCAGAAAGCTTATTTTTCTATTGCTCCCACATCTCAGCTTTGCGGCGCCTGCTTGGCACTTTGGTCCTGCTTCTGGCGAAGGCAGGCTTGCGCCTGTGGGCACGATGTCGGTTCCTGATTCGGCGGACATTCTTCCTGGTGAATTACCTGGGCGACCCTCACTCTGCGGGCAAAGTAGTCACACAACTTATTTTCGTAGCCCTCAAGCCATTGGGTCAGCACGGCACCTGGGTTTTTCATTCCGCACACTCCTGGAGGAGGCAGACACTCCACTCTTTGATGACGTGTGTGGTCTTGCTTGTCATGTTCTTTCACAACTCGGCGCAAAAGTCACCATCAAACTTGAAGCCTCCCTGCAGCTCTCCCAGTTCCAGCGCACCGCTGAGGAGCTGCGGCACATACTTCCGACACGTGCTGACCTTGCTGGCGTAGATTTGGAGAATACCTGGTTAGATGCAGACCTCAGTCTACTCGACAAGCTCCCTCGCGAGAAGTTGAAGTTGGAGTCGGGCTTGGCTACGCTTCGTGAGTGGGAACCGCAGATGGGAATGCCTCGTGCGCTTCATATATACACAGATGGATCGTACGGAGACACCTTCACTGATGGGTTTAAAGCTGTGGGTTGGTCATTTACAGTCTGGGCCGATTGCCATGACGCCTTGCACTTCGTCGGCCACGCGTCCTTCCATGGAGCCTCGTCTGAGTCTCCATATTTCCTGGGCGAATACTCACCTTCCCCTTTGGCTGGCGAGCGACTAGGCATAGCTTGGGCGATTGTCTGGATCATTGAGCATTCGGCTTCTTTCCCGGGGCCCTATGTGCTAGAATACGATTGTCTCAACGCGGGCAAACATGCATTTGGTGAGTTCCTAGATCATGCCAGTGATGAGGAGTCGGCTGCGTTGGCTGAGGCCGTCTCTGCGCTTCGAGTGTGCATGGATGCCTGTTGCCATGTTGATCACCGGCATGTGCGAGCGCACGAAGGCACATTCCCCAATGAGCTGACTGATGTTTTGGCAAAGGTTGTCCGAGCGTTTCCTGTTGAACATGATCAGCGGTGCCTGCCGACTTGGCCTCGAAACATGGTTTTTCATCCACTAAGAGATTGGGCGTGGCGCTTCTTCGACTTTCAGGTCGCTCTACCTACCGTCTTTGCGCTGGAGACTGAAGCTCTTCGCCTGCAGCACCGCACTTCTCACGAGCCGGTTCGGGTCCCGCAAATTGCCACAGTCGACTTGGCGCGTCAGGCTTCCGAGGAAACTGTAGCTCTCCAAATGCTTTTTGCGTCGATCAACATCTTGACCTTTCGGGATGAGCAGACCAGAGCCGCTGCTGGGCAAGCATCAACCATGGGACTCCGGGTCCAGGGCCGTCAGGCCTTCGTCATACATCAACTTCTGGAGCGCCGGGTGTGGATCGCCGGGTTTCAGGAGTCGCGGCTACCGCACAGCTCCACTGCGCATTCCCAGGACTATGCGCTGTACCATTCTGCCTGCACGAGCAGGGGGCAACTGGGCTGTTCCCTGTGGATCAACAAGAGCATTCCGTATGCCACTGTCAAAGACCAGCACCATTATGTAAAAGAGTCCCATGTGTCCATCTTGGGCTATGGGCCCAGGTACCTTGTGGCCAGCGTAGTTGCGCCGCACCTTCGTATCCTGATTGTTGTTGCTCATTGCCCTTACCAAGGCCACGGTGAATCCCCTGAAGAATTTTGGAGGCTCATTAGCAAGTACGTCTCAGACAGATTGGATGGAACTTACGCAGTGATCCTTACAGATTCGAACGGTCACGTCGGCAGCGTGCAGTCCTCCTCTATAGGTGGCTTGGCGCCAGAAGAAGAGAATGCGCCTGGCCGCGAACTGCATACATTCTTGGCGGATCACAGACTTTGGGCCCCCGCTACATTCGCGGACACGCACCAAGGTCCTAGTACCACATGGGTAGGCCCCTCTGGGCCTCTGGGGCGGCCTACCGGCTTGACTTCGTCTGCATTCCACTTGAATGGCAGCGAGGCCACATCTCTTCATGGGTGTGGGTTGATTTTGATGGGATGCAGATCAGTCGCGATCATCGACCAGCCCTCCTTGAGTGCTGCTTTGAGTACAGCCTTTCCACGCAGCCCTTCGTGCGGCGTCGGTGTTCTCCGCCTCTCCGCGTTCTTTCCCTGAGTGCCAGTGACCGTGAGGAATACTATCGGCAGCTCGGCGCGGCCGCCCTGCCAGACTGGCACCTCGATGTTGATGACCATTACGACGGGCTCCTTCGTGTGTGGCGGGCAAGTTGGTGTCAGGTACACACTGCAGATGCTCCGCCCAGACACAATCCGTACATCACTGAGGAGACCTTGGGCATCAGAGATAGACGCAAGGGTCTTCTTCGCTACATTGCGAAAGAGGAACTAGCTGCCAATAGGGTCCATCTGCTGGCAGGCTTCGCGGCTTTCATTCTTCATTTGAGAGGCCAAGCTTTCCAGCCTGAACAGATGCGATACCTTTGGACAAGCTTGCGCAACATTCACATCAGCATTGCGCGAGCTTTAGTCATGGTTCGCGTCACTGGCAAGCAGCTCAGGTCTGCTGTCAAAAGTGATCGCAAGCGCTACCTGGCAGAGCTTGCCAGCCGGGTTGGCCAATGCCAGAAACACGACACCAAGGCCCTCTTCGAGGCCGTTCGACAGGCTTTCCCCGACGCTAGATCGCGCAAGCACAAGAGACTGCGGCTGCTTCCCATGCTTTGTAAGGAAGACGGCTCTCCGGCACAGAGCAACGCCGAGGCCGAGCGCATCTGGCGAGACCACTTTCGGCAGCAGGAGGCCGGCGTAGAGGTCACGCCCTCTGGTTATGCTCAGGAAGCCACCGACTGGAGACGGGCTTCCACTCTTGTTCCAGCGTTTGATGTGTCCACTGTACCATCACGCACAGAGCTGGAGCAGGTTCTTCTGTCCCTTAGACCCCTCAAATCGCCAGGGCCCGATGGGGCTACGCCGGAGCTTTTCCAATGCCACCCCAGGCTCATGGCGCGGATGCTGATGCCGTTGATGGTGAAAGCATCTCTGGCCACAGCTGAACCCTTTCTCTGGAAAGGGGGGACGTTGGTGACCCTTGCCAAGCGCGCGTCGCAGACGTTCCAGACCAATGACTTTCGTTCCATCCTTTTGGCGAGCGTGCCAGGAAAAATTTTCCACAAACTAGCCCGGCGCCGACTCTTGCCTGTATTGCAGCAACATCAGTCAGGACTACTTGCGGGGACGGCCGCTGGTATTGGACCTGACACAATATCCTTGGCTGTCCGTGCATCCATTGACATTGCCCGTCAGTCTGGTTGCAGTTGGATGACGCTGTTTTTTGACATCAAATCGGCTTTCTACCGGCTAGTGCGCCAAACCATCGTTCCTGGTGAGATGGCCGAGTACCAACTCGTTCGCCTACTTTCTGGGCTCGGAGCCACTCCAGAGGCACTTTCCGAGCTGCGCCAGCTCCTGGAACAGGCCGCAGCCATACCCCGATTTGGTGCCAATCCACATCTCGTCAAGTTAGTGGACAGTCTTCTCCAGGCTACGTGGTTCACCATGACCTTGGCGCCGCAGTTGGTCATGACATTTCTTGGCAGCAGGCCAGGTGACTCTGCTGCTGACATTTTCTTTGCCTTCGGCCTTACGTGCTACCTGGACTCCACTGAAGCCCTTCTGCGTGAACGAGGTCTGTGCTGGCTGCCATCGCCCACCCAGAAGACACTGCTCGCAGACGACTGGGCGGTTGCTCCGGATGTCACTACAGCAGCTTGGGCGGATGACGTTGTCAAGTTCCATGCCACGTCCTCACCTCAACAACTGCGCGATGACATGCAGGTGATGGCAAAAACGTTCCTGAATCGGGCGGCTTCGTGTGGGATGCGCTTTTCGCCGGGTAGGGACAAAACTGCGTTCCTGGTGGACAGACGAACGCGTCAGTCTTGGACTGCGTTGGCGCTGCCCAACCATGCCTTGGACTATATTGACATCGACTTCGAGCTGGGTGGTGACAGTTTCCGCATCCCCCTAGTCAGTGCCTATTGCCATCTAGGTGGAGTTGTCACGGAGTCCGGTAGCGTTGATCAGGAGCTCTACGTTCGCAATGCTTCTGCGCGGGGAGTGTTGCGTTCCTTGGCTCACAAGCTGTTTGCCAACTCTGCCTATGACATTGGCACTCGGGTCGCCTTACTGAGGGCACTTGCAGTCAGCAAGCTCACGTATGGATCAGGCTGCTTAACGTTTAGTGCTTCTCAGCACAAGCGACGCTGGCACGCGAATTACGTGCATCTGTGGAGGAGCCTTTTCCGTCTTGATCGACCTGAACATGGAAAGCCGCATTCTTATGAGGTTCTGTTGGTAGCTGGTTGTCCGCCGCCGCATCTTTCACTTGCCTTGGCGCGCTCCAGTCTGCTTCGCCGGATCATCTGTCATGGGCCGCGTGCTGTACGTTACCTTCTGCAGGTGCAATGGGAATTACATGGGAAGCGATCTTGGCTTCATCAATTTGTAGGCGACATTCGCAATGTTGCCGAATATGTCTCCTCCGCCAAGGTCCTAATGCAGTCTGCGGACCCCATCCCAATGCTTGTGGAACAAGTGCAGTCGCAGCCATCTTGGTGGACGCTGCAGATCAAGAAGGCCGTTCAAGGTTTCCATCAAGACTTGCAGCGGTGGCAACAGACTCCTTCGCGTCATGGGCTGCTGGCTACGCCGCGCTTGGACTTCTCTTGTCATATCTGCTGTGCTTCCTTCGCCCTTCGCAAACACCTTGGAGCTCACATGGCGAGGACGCACAGAATAGTGGCACTCCCCAGGCACTACGCGCATGTTCCTTGGTGCCCCTCTTGCATGACCATGTCTCACTCCATCAGCCGCGCGCAGAACCACTTCAAGAAGCATCCGGAGTGTCTGAAAGCAGTGGCTGCATTGATCCCTCCTCTCTCCATGGACGAGATCCACGCTACAGAACGTGCCGACACCAACCAGGCTTCCCAGTTCCGCATGGGACACTGGCACCGACTACAGCACATGCCCAAAGCTACGAAAGTCTCTGGACCTCAGGCTCTAAATGCAGATGAGCGTGCTGAGTGGGTTTCTTCGGACTCCGACCTTGATGTTTGGACACATTTGTTCAGACCTGAGCCTGAAGATGTCACGTGGGTAGCTGCTTACCTTGATAGCGTAGGGACTCGCGAACCTGCTAGACAACAAGCAGTTTCGTTTTGGGAAGCACGCCCAGCCGGGCCTGCTGTCATTTCTCTGGAGACGGAGGGCCCCAATGAATTTGCTGCATGAATTTTGGGACAAGCTGCGAAAGCAGCCTGATCAGTCCGCGTGAAGTGAAGTGTACCCACCCCCTTAGTGGGTATCCCCCGTAGGCCGACGTGCCCGGCTCAGGTTGGGGGATGCGAGCATAATAATATTAGCAAGAACGGACTACAGGGTTGGGGGTAAGGGGTTTAGGGGTTTAGGAGTAAATCCCAAATTCGAGATGAATCCAAAACAGAAGTTCAGAGATTAGGGACACAGTCAGGCTCAGAACCCTGTCAATGCAAAGCCGACGGTGAAGTTGTGTTGCGACCCGGCGCACGATTTACAAACCTTCACTGCCTGAGGCTATCGTTACCCAAAGTATGCGAGACAGATAGCGGAACTCAACGGATACCTTACAGGTCAGGAACCGAGCAGCTATAACCCCATAAAAGATGTGCCAAAAAACCAACTAGGAGGTACCCTCAACATCTACCCCAACATACAATAATCCTTCTTCGAAATACTAGGAACCGAAGAGAGGCCACAACGTTGGTTTTGCGGAACCCCGCCCGCCCCTCCTCTGGAGCCCGGTGTATATCCCTAAGGGTCCATGTACCCATATAGTATATACCATATAGGTACATGGACCCTTTGGGTATGGCTATGTGGCTCGGACCAGTCGGTCCGTCCAGCCAGGGCAAATCTGCGAGGTGGCCCCAAGCGCCACGAAGGACCTTGAGGCTTTGTCGGGTGTGCCTTCTTGCCCTAAACCCTATACCGTAAACCCTAAACCCTTAGCCCTAAACCCTAACCTAAACCCCAAAAAGGGGTTTTTAGCTTCGACTCTCACACTCGCACAAGGGTTGGCAAGGCCTGGGTTTACTGCATCCTGTCGAGTATCCTAGAATGCGCTCATGCACGCTTCGTGGCTCCCTTGAGCCCGATGAAGACTAGAAGACACTGGCTTAGTCCCCAGCTGCAAAGTGACCGGAATATCTTGAAGCTTCTCCAGAGCCTCCAGCCTAGCAGAACGGTGCACGACCTACCACCCCCGGGCCCGGGGCTTTTAAGCCCCGTGGCGATAAGCACGGGCAAAAAGGCTGCAGAAATCATCTCATCTAGAGGCGAGCGTCTAGGTAGCAAAAATAAGGGTAAAGCTATCAATCAGGCAAGATGCTGACTTGGCTTCAAATGACAAGGTTTCGACTCTCACGCTCGCACTTGGCAGGCAAGGCATCGGAAGGTCTCTGAAGAATTCGGCTTGGGGTTGAGTCGAACAGTGATTAAGACCCGTGGATTCCGTGGAGTATGCTGATTGAAGCTTTTCTCTCGTACTGGATAGGCATCTCAAAGCACGCACGCTCGCACTAGTGCTCGACCAACACACGCGATGGCCGGCTGTACGATTCTTGCCGCCAGCCAAGCCCATGCTGAAGTCGGAGAGCACGAACACACGAGAGGAAAGGAATTAAAAGGAAACAGGAGAAAGGGTTCCCCTTGTTTGCGTGCAGAGGGGGGGGGGGATTGCAATGGAGACAGGTTTTCCATGTGTAGGGGTCGCTAAGTGCAAAGAATTCAAACCCCGAGTCGTCCAAGAACCCACAAATTCTATCCTAGACACTCGATCCCCTCTAGATGAGATGGTTTCGGAACTGCAGTTTCAGCGAACGTGCGCAAGCAAGCACCCTTGCCACAAAAAAAAACATCTCTTCAAGCAGTGATGTCTTTCCAACTGTCCCTGAGAGCAACCTACGCGTGTAAGTTGACTCACCTCATTTGAACAGGGCCATCCCTAAAATCGCCTTCTCCCCCTGAACCCCCCAACTAAAGGGAGAAGCCAAGTAACCCCATAGCCCTCTGCCTGCCTCCGGCGGAGCTCGATGCGCCGCTGTTCCAGGGCTTTCTGGGCCTAGCATGGGCAGTCATCGAGCTGCATCGTGATACATGGTTCTGGGCGGGTAACGGAACGAAGATCTTCTCAGTTTGGGTGTCTGTGTGCTAATCATATGCTTGCTGTTACTTCTTGTAAGAAGCATGTATACTCAGACATGTAAGTCTTATGTCTGGACCTGGATACAGCACGCGATGGCATGGTAGTGCGGACCTCCAATCGAGCACGTTCCCGCTGCTCCTCATGCTCTTTCGAGAGGCGCTGCTTGTCCTTCATGACGCGCCCGATATCTGCCCTACAACTTGGGATGTTTCCCCTTATAGTAGCAGTCCTTCATAGGGATTATATTCGGGGGCACTAGAGTCACTATGATCCCTATGAAGAACTGCTAGACAGGGGGAAGCATCACAACCTACAACACCTAAACGCAGAAAAAGATTGCAGCTGCCCCCTTTATGTCCTCCCAGGTCTGCCGCATGAAGGCTTCAAGAGCCTTGCAGCTGGGGGTGGTGGTGACTTAGAGTTGGGGACTATATCATCACACCAAAAACCTTACATGTGATGCTTTTCACTGAAATTCATCTCTGGACGGGGGATGCTTCATTTACCCGGCGCTGTCTCTGTATCTGAGCAACTGAGGGTGACTGCAATCATTCAGGCTTCCGGTCTAACCCTCAACCCTAAACCCTAATCCTAATGACTCCTTCTGAATTGCACATTTTTTCTCATTGTACCGGGGCCAGCCTCGATCTCGGCGCGGTGCTTCTCCTCGAGCTCGTTCACGACGCCAGGCGTCTGCACAAGAGAGAATCTTCGAAACAAAAGGCCACGCCACTACATCCTTCCAGGATCTTCCAGGGCCCAAGAAACCAGAGAGGAACCCTAAACCCTAAAAAAACCTAAACGAGCTTGTGGAGGCTTGGCTTTTCCCAAGTTCCTGTCCGATGCCAGTCGCACCTCGACGAGGGCACGTTGCCGCAAAGCTTCCACCTGACGTGGCTGCCATCCCCTTCCTGGAAGTGCCATAGGAATGAAAAGTGCCACCATTTGTGCCAGCCTCCTTCTCCATCTGCTGACGTTGCTTCGTCTCCTCGTTGCGTGTGGCGGCCACGCGGATGGTTTTAGCCTTGCGTGTGCATCCATATCGCAACATATTTCCCAACCAAAGCACATCTCGAGGTTCCCCCCGATGAGAGAAGGACCAGCTATGAAAAACCCTAGGAGTGCTGAGCTTCAGGCCCGCTTCGCGTATTGCAAGGTTGACCAGGACTCCTCCACGTTGTTCTTTGCTGGACCTTACGGCATAATTAGCACAGAAAAAACGCTAAGGCGCTGCCTTCTCGCAAGACGTGTCATGCAAGGGCCACCTCCTGTGCAAGTAGTAGATAATTCAGTGTAGACCATCCTGTTCATCCCCCCACCCTGGCGTGACCTAAAGTACAGACGGACCTGGGCTGCACGCAACGAGGTTCTGTTTAGCAGGGCATGCCCGTGAAAACATCATCTGGGCACCCTGCTGACGGCGGCGATCATTGTGCAGAGGGCATTGCCGCCCAAGCTCTCCTGGCCAACTATACTCCAGAACCCTCGGTGGCAGATGGGAGAGCCAAAGCAAGCTTCAGTTCTAAATCAACCCTAAACCCGTGAACCCTGTAAACCGATAGACGCCCTACAAAAAGACCTATACAAGCCCTATAAAAACCCTACACAAAACCCTATAAACGCCGTACAAAACCCTATAAAACCCCACAAAAACCCTCAACACCCTCAGCCCTGCGGTTGTCCTGCAGAACCCGCGTCAACTTCGAGTCCCGGTACGGGACGAAGGCGCGGCGCCTGGGCCATCGGCTGCAAAAAGCGGTTCCGCTTCTTACAGGGCTTGGTGTGGGGCTATACTCCCCTTAGAACCTTCATAAACAGAATACTTTTAATATCCTCTTATAAAACAAAAATGAAGAATAATTCCCAAGGGGGATGTACTTGCCACCTGCCTAGCTAGCAGCCTCGCAACCAGTGCAGGGATACGAAGCGTCCGACTCGAGTCTCTGCAAGGGGTCGGCGTTTTTGCCACCCATTTAGCCACAGCACCGCGGTGTCGGGTTTAGGGTTGAGGGTTTCAGTTTAGGGTTTAGGGTTCATTAGAGTTTTCCGGGGGCTTACTAGGGCTTGTAGGGATTTCAAGGGGCTTAGAAAAAGTACTAGAGTGGCCAATTAGGGTTGAAAGGGGCTTATAAAGGCTCATTGCGGTGTAGAGAGGCGTAGACTCCAAAAAGAGTGAGGACCCCAGGCATTAAAACCTGTACTCTTTCGGTTAGGTCCCCTCCTGGACTCTTTACCATGGCTCATTTATTGTCAGGGCTTAGGTTGTGTTTCTTGCTGGGCTCGTTTTGTAAGCTACCGATATTGTAGAGGTAGGAAGATGTCACAAGACAAGTTAGGTCCCCAACCACAATGATGTAAAGGCTGGTACAGGCACTGCGAGTATCAACCCTCGGCATAGCACTGCCCCAAAGCCACGAGTGCACACTAATCCTAAACCCTAAACCCTAAACCCTAAACCCTGGTGCAAAGAATTGCTTGCCCAAGATGTCTGAACCCTTTCGAGCAACGGACTTTGAGGCTGCCGGCACACATGCAACTTCCTTTCCGGCAGCTTCATCACGCCATCTCACACAAAACACCCATTCTAAACCCTAAACCCTAAACCCTAAACCCTAAACCCTAAACCCTAAACCCTAAACCTAAACCCTAAACCCTAATTAAACCCTAAACCCTGAACCCTGAACCCTGAAGTGGCCCAGGAAGCATGACCCCGCTAGGGGGCTTCATCTGTGAAGCTGTCAGGCCCAGGCCCCCCCCCAGCAGAAGTTGCGCTGAGGGCATTGATCACATTGCTCAAAGCCTTACCCAAAGGCTGCAAGGTAGTTCCTTTTTGGGTTAGGCAGAGGGGGTTCTCGTATACGACCCCCAAAAGGTACTACGGAGCCTTTGGGTAAGTGCTTCCAGGTTTTGTGTTCAGGGGCTGTCGTATCCAGCTATACTTGAAGGTTGGGTTGAAAGTCGCAGAGTATGGCTGATGCAGGAAACATGACAGCAGGTCAATGCTAGCATCACTGAGCTGCATTCAGGAGGCGCTGAGGGATTTGTTGATGTTGGCACCTTCCTGGCCGCATGAAGCTGTCTGTCAAGCACTCTCCCTCCTCTTTTTCTATAACCTGGAGGCGAGCAGTTTGGCTCTCTCTCGCTGCTTCTCTTCCTCTTATTCTTCTTATTATTCTTCTTCTTCTGCTTTTGCAGAATTTGTTCTGCTTTGAGCAGTGGCGAACCTGTAAGGTGCAAGCACTCGGTTTCTTTATCGACTCCTCCCCTCCAACCCTATCGAAAGGCCAGCAGAGCAAATGTTGTCTTTGTGCTTCTGCCCGTTCCTGGGCGGGTCCTGCTTCTCTGTCTTCTTCGTTCTTCTTCTTCTGCCGGGGGAGGACCCAAGTACCCACCCGCGACGCGCACCCGTACGTGTTCGCTGTCTGTTCGAGTGGATCCGTAAAACTGCACCTCCTCAGACCGGCCTCATCCCCATCCGAACCATCAGGGAGCTATGACAATGGAGTTGCCACCATGGGGCTGAAATAATTATAGGATTGTACTATTGTAGTAAATAATGCAATCTTACAGTAGAAGACGATTAATAAAATTAAGAACACAAACAGTAGTATGATGATGTTGAATATTGTTGATACGAATGCATGAAAGGGATATGGCAACATGCTTACAAATATTATTATTGCTGTTACGTTGTCTTTCTGTCATGTCGTCTGCGCACGCCTTCGCCTGGCTCCGCTCTTCTGAGTCGTTCCGCTCGGAGCCGGCGAGGTCCACGAGGTTGAGCTTGGAGATCGTGTTCCTGACCCGGGCTCGCTCCCCCTCTCTCTCTCTCTCTCTCTCTCTCTCCCCCTCTCTCTCACTGTATATATTTACATACATATATGTATATATATATGTTATGTATAACATGCATACCATCTAATTCAATATATGCACCTATACATAGAAGTACCCAACCAAAAACATCTAACATGTCATGTGCAAGACTTCCTTCACCCTTGCGCCAAAGACAGTCGCACATCTCCTGCAGAGTTGGGCCCGAACGGGCTTCCAGGTTCAGGGTTCTAGTTGGCGTATGCAGTGATACAGCCCTGACTAGCAGGAAAGCGGACGGGGCGAAAGTTCGACTCTTTCTGCGATTGTCTTCGCGAATGAGGGATAGCCCAACACGGAAGCCACGGCTTTCTTTTTGCAGCAGCTAAATTCGCTGTCGCTTGGGTGAGACCATTGTCACTTGAGAGCGTGTTAGGGTTTTGGGCTTAGGGTTTAGGGTTTCCTTTAGGGTGTCGGTCATGCCTGCTTCAATGCTGGAAACATGACATTTCCAGTCGGAGGTGTCGTGATGTGTTGGTCAGCTACCAATACCGATCACTTCCAGACCCTCATCGACCTCCGTGTCACGCCGCAGCATCTTTTTGGAAAGAAGCTGCTCCACTCTCTCCGCACGTGTGAGATTCGCCTTCCGACCCCGCTGTGCAGAGGGCCGGATGAGGGTTTGGGCCGGCGCCTCTCAAACGTGCCACAGCATGGCATCAACAAGTCCACAGCATGGCATCAACAAGTGCTGATGGCAGTGGCTTAAGGTTGCAAGAGTCTCCTGTGGCTCAAGAATATGCAAACCAAAGAAGACAATAACAAGACCAAAAAACAACTGTTCCATCTTCATGTGCAGCCCAAAAGAGTGCCTGGGATGCCAGGCCATTCCGCTGCAGCGCCGCATGTCCCTGCTGCAAATAAACCTGGCCCATCAGTCTCCAATGACTTCGCTTGTTTTGAGCGGAGTTGAAGGGGCTTTAAGGACTTGGAGACTTGCGCATTCCATGCCCTTTCCCAAGTGTCTAACAAGCCCTATGCGGCATGTGCTGCATAGGGCCATGCCGGGAAATGCGAGGCCTTCCTAGCAAGCACCATACCAAACCTTGTTTTGGGGTCTGAATTGGTACTTGTAGAATACTTTCCCTTTCCAAGCTGAGAGAAGCCAAGATGTATATGTGTGTGTATATATATGCCTTATATGAAATACAAGTTCATCAAATTCAAATCATGTGGGCCTGCATCAACCTCGCCAACACATCACAACCACTGCACAGAACACCGGGAGCAGGGCACACCGCCCCAAACTGCCCTACCCTAAACCCTAAACCCTAAACCCTAAACCCGGGCTCCTTGGGCGGGGTCGCCAAGAGCATCTCCAGAAGCTTTATGCGGCGATCTAGGACCAAAAGCTGATCCTCCTCCTGAGCCAAGGCAAATTAAGCCAGCCCCATTATGCCACAATACGAAATATACTATAAATAAATAAATAAATCAATAAGTAATATATACATATACTGTAAAGTACTATGAATACTATATATATATATACACACTATAACGTACTATATATACTATATATACATATATATATATATATATAGTATATCTATACCATACATACTTGGCTGGCCAGGCCGGAGAAGAGGCAGCGACAATTCGGCCTTCATGGTTGGGGGCAGTTTGGAGGACCTGGCTCCATGTGCTCCAAGCGTCCGAGAGCCCAGCCCCCACGTAGTCGGACGCGAAGCCACGCGTGACGGCCAACTCGTCCCCCCTGATGGTCGACCTGAGTATTGTCCATGCCGAACCACGCAAGTATCGGCTGTCCGTGCGCATTGCAAAGATATCTTGCAGCCCTTCTTTGTCGCGCTTGAACGGAAAGTGCAGTAGTCAGTGCCTGCTACGACTGAGGCATACCATACAGCCCAGCCCCGAGTCCAGTGCAGCCATGGAGCAGGCCATGGAGCAGCACCTCTTCCAGGTTCTTGCTTGAGTCTCGACTCATGGCGCCGCTGGCGCAGTATCCAAAGTGGCGGACGATGCCTGACTGGTTTTGGGTTTTGGGTTTTGGGTTTTGGGTTTAGGGTTTAGGGTTTAGGGTTTACCATCTCGCCAAGTTTAAGGGCACACTGACTGTTCATCCATGTGGCTACAGCAGGGTCCTACTGCAAACTTTGACTTGACTTGGCCATCCCTCATGTCGCAACTCGATGGAAGAGGTGCAGACCCCACATCTCCCCTCACTGCCCGAAGTAGGTCTACGGAAGCCTTCCTGTTCGTAGCTCTCTGAACCCTAAACCCTCAACCCCACACCCGAAGCTGCGAGAATTGGCGAGCGGCGCAGACACGCAGGAACCGGAGTCGCGCTGAGAGCCGCCCTGCCGGTTCGACTGCACGTGCGGAGTGCGATACGAAGACGAAGATACGATACAATGTACTCAATGATATTGTAACAGATTAGGAACGTGCTAATAAAAACAGTATTGTATACATACAGTATACAGCCATCCTGCTCGTGTTACAATTCCAAGACAAATGTGTGACTCGGGCTGGATCCTTTTGTTGACGGTGGTGTTGCGATTGTGCCCCTGGGCTCTTTCGCCTAAACCCCATGCCATCGCCTCAGCCTTTGAAGACCAGGATGGCACCGCCGCAGGCCAAAATACCTTGGGCTTCATCCCTCTGCTGAGGTCGAGCCCAACTCAGGGGAAGGCGCAAGCCCTCAACACCCTAAGCCCTAAACCCTAAACCCTCAACACCCTAAACCCTAAACCCTTTTTTTTGGCATCCAAAAAACCCCAAACCCCTAAACACTCTTTTTGGCATCCTTAACTAACCCTGATCCCTAAACCCTTTCTTGGCATCCTTAACCCTGAACAACCCTAAACCCCAAAAAACACGGCAGCCAAGAGGCAGAAGTATCCAAAGCACAGAGCACAGCTCGTGGTCCGTCTGGTGGATCCCTTCTGCTGGCACCGAGATCTGAAGGGACTGAGGGATTTGGGCACTTATGTACACATGTATGCCACGATATGTCTATGCATATCTACCCCTTAAGGGAGTATGTGGGGTTCTCATTCCCTCCCTCGCTACTAATTCCCTCCTTCACTACTACGAATCAGTAGGACATGCGTATTATGGGTTTCCGAAAAATATTGGTACCCTTTCTATGCACCAAAATGACACAATCAATGTGACATGAACCTCAGAAGGGGCGCACCCATTTTTCGGAGCCCCCCCACAAAAAGGTTCCAAAAGACAGATCTCTAAGCTTCCAGGGATTTCGCTTCTTTTCCAACCCAGACTCTGCTGAAACCTATAACCCAAAACCCCTCAAACTGAAAATAAGGGGGCATCTGGGAGGGAAGCATCTGGGAGGGTGGTATCTGGAGAGTTTTTTTTTTGAGAAAAGAAACCATTGACATCTACGCACCCCTTAGTGCAAGGCTACACCCTGTACACGTTTTCCTCGCAGTATCAACAAGACACTTTCCACCAATGCTCTAGGCGCCAACTTCACTGGCGAACCCTAAACCTAAACCCTAAACCCTAAACCCTAAACCCCTAACCCCTAAACCCTAAAGGAAATTATGCCTGCACTGCAATTTACTGCTATACCCAGTGGCCAAAGAGGGTTGACCAACAGGTAAGGCCTTTCAGCATAAAGACTTCATCCAGATGAAAACACCTTCCACAAGAATCCACATCTCGGCGACCTCAAACAGAAACCCTAAACCCTAAATCCTAAACCCTACACCCTAAACCCTAAACCCAACCCACCAATCCACCGCCCAGCTCACTTTTGCCCTCCGAGAGGCGAAATGCAGCACGGTCTCCAGGCTCGCGACGCGCAGTGGGGGCACCGGCGCAGGCGAGGACTGGCGGAGCACGGTTTGATGATACAACATCATACACTAGGTTCGCCACTTAAGCCCTTCTAAATACCATTAGGATCGTCTTGAACCGCAATCAGGGAGATTGAAAAAAACACCAAAGGGCCTAACATTACCCGGCACAGTTCTGTTCATGGTCTGACACATTCTCATCCTAGTCGCCGACGTGTATATACATACATACATACATACATACATAGATACATAGATACATAGATACATAGATACATAGATACATACCTACGCACATTAGAGAGACATACAGATATATATATATATATATGTATGTGTATATATATATGTATATATATATATATATGTATGTATATATACACATGGCAGCAACAAAGGTGCTGGCCTCCGGAACGGCATCTGAGGTGCCAGTTCCACGGTGCAGGAGCACCTGGGCTATGCACATGGCAGTGGCGCGCGGCCTTCTGCACAGCCTCATTGATGCTCTCATTGCCTCGCTCTATAGGTGGGCTTGAACTTGCAGCGAGGGCACAGGTAGCCGTCGCAAGCGACAGAAATGATGTCCGTGCCTACAGCATGAAGGGAGCGGATGTGACATGAAGCAATCTGGAGGGCGCACATGCTGTCTGTTGCTTCCCTACCAGGCCACCTGCCTTGCACCCACAATAGACTGGTAGAGATAGAGACATACAAATATACCTCCCCCCAGGACTGACCGGAACCTACCATCGCTCTCACTGCTTTTTTGGGCCCCTCGATGTCTTGCGCCTGGAACCGAGAAAAGCTCGCTGAAGCTGGCGCCGCCGTCTCTGCTCAAGCGCAGCACCCACACATCTGGGCGCCTCCAGAAGTTAGAGCAAACAGATCATGGTTGCAGTCTCCTGTGTTGATGTTCAAGATGCAGCCAATTAAAGCAGCTGCACATTCATTCACATATGCACATACATGGGTGTGTATATATATATATATATATATTTGATGTTTATGTACATTTACATATCTATCTATTGATACACACGCACGATAAACATTGATACATAAATATATGTGTACATATAGTCATTTACACATATGTATCAACGTACCTTTGCGCTCTTTAAGATGCAAACCACCACGCTCCAAACTGAGCATACCGCATACCCGTACCAGCCACCTTCAACTTGAAAAGGATTTCTTTCTTGGTGCTTCCTGCCAACTGACTCTGCCGGGTGCCTTGGAAGGCAGGGAGGCGGAGTCGCGTCGAAGGTTCAGCGATCTCAGGACGCCGCTCAAGGCCTCCACCTTGTGAGGCAAGGAACTGGCTTCGGAAGAGGACATGCCCAGGGGAGAGTCGAGAGATTTGTGTCCTGAATGCAAGCCAGGAGCTGTGCTCGATCGCGCGAACTCCACCCTGGCCCGAGGCTCCTGGACGAAGTACGCATGGGGGGGGGCATGGAAACCTTATGAAACGGGGCTCCTCGTGTCGAGGGCCAGAATCTTCACTCGCCTGCATGGCGCTTCTCACGCGCGTGATGGCCTCCTCCTTGGTTCTGTCAACAGGCAAGCCACAAAGGCAGGCGAAAAATCGTGTGCCCGAAATGCTCACGCCACACTCTGCTTCTTCTTCGTATTCGAGCCTCAGAAGCTAGAATCATGAGTTCCATTGCTACCCCCCCTTCTAGACTACCTTCCCCCCTAGGTTCCCCCCGTAGCTAACCTTAATTGGGCTTCATTCTCCCTAAATGGCCCAACGGCCATGTTTATGGGAGGAACCTAGGGGGGGTAGTACAGAGGGGGGTAGAAGGGGAACCCATGATAGAAGCTCCAAGAGTCGAATGCCACCATGGGCTTGTGGGTGAGATCCGCTTCGTCGCCCTCGTCATGCTTGTGCGCCTCTTCGGAGGATGCCTGCGCTTTGAGGCCCCCCTTCGAAGCTGCAAGGACATGTAGGCTGCTCTATGGACGTAGGCTGCTCCAGGAACCGGTGCAACATTAGGGTTTAGGGTTAGGCTGCTCCAGGAACCGGTGCAACATTAGGGTTTAGGGTTTAGGGTTTGGGGGTTAGGGTTTAGGGTTTAGGGCAAAGTTTAGGGTTTAGGGGCATGTTGCCTGGCCACTGGCGCACGCAAGAGCATGTTGATCCTAACAAGAGCGTCCTGCCCCTGCAGCTCGTCATTTTGGTAGCTGCTATATCTCCAGCCAGGATCCAGGGAAGGGCGCGTGACATCCTTTCAAAACAGTTCGTGCTCTGGCATACAGAATGCATGGCCATATCTCACCGTCCTCCCGGGTGTCCACGTCCAGCTGCTCTTTGAGCCGTTCGCACAGTTGATGTGCCCAAGGGCTGGGTGTGTGCGTCAAGCTCCCTTGGAAAGTCGGCTCAGAATTTGTATTGTGGGGATGAGCACTGTGGCCACTGTATCATGCAAGCACTACAAAGCTCACAATCAGCCTATCCGGAAGCACAAGGCTAGTTACAGCAACAAAGAAAGTCCAGCAGCGACCTTCACCATAACAGAGCCAACACCCGCAATGAGGTCTGTTGGCTGCCAAGGCTCGTTGGAGGAGCCTCAAAAAACTCACCAAACAGAAGAGAGGCCCGATTGAGCCACACAAAAGTGTCGGAAGCAGAAGACTTGTGTCAGGAAGATGCCCACAGAGAGACCCACTCACGCGTGGCGAGGAACTCCAAAGCTTGCTGCAGGTCCGACTCTGTCTTGACCGGCTGCATCAGCAGAAGGACAGCCAAGTTGTACCTGCAGCTGGTGGGCGGCTTGCAACTGCCTGCAAAGCAGCATCTTTGCGGGTTTCAACTTTGCCTTCACGTAGCTCCCTATCCGAGGCGTGAATTTCGGAAAGAAGAGAAGCTGCTAAAAGGGACGACGTAGACAGGAACTTCATTCTGTCTGTGTAACAGTGTGCGTCAGCGACTGGTCCTGTGTGTCTGGGTGGAACTGAGCACGTGGACGACAGCAACAGAGGGCTGTCTGTTGGGTGATGAAGCTCGGTCTCAAAAGCAAGTGTCATGCTGGCATCCACGGCTAGCCTGGGAATCGTTGAATTGAGGGAGCGAGAGAGATGAATAGACAAAAAAGGGCAACAAAACAAAACAAGAGAGAGAGAGAGAGAGTCAGAGACAGAGAGCGAGCGAGAGAGACAGAGCGAGAGCATACCTACGGACACACACACATACACAGCTGAACAAATAACACCAAAAGAAACTCTCTCTCTCTCTCTCTTTGTATATATATATATGTATATACATGAGTGCGTGTGCGCATGAGGCCGTTGAAAAAGTTGTGTGTCAAGTTTCCCAGGAATGCGGCAACTGCCATGTGCTCAAAGCACAAAAACTTTCAACCCAAGATCCAACGGAGGGCTGGGTTTCTAGAAGCTGACCTGACGCCATTGTCTCCTCCGGCCAACAAGACCAAGTCACAGGGAGTCACTGTTGGCAGAGTCCTCACGCTTGTGAAGCTCCGCTGACATGATCAGCTCGGCTTCTTTGCGTGACTCTTCCTGAGAAACATTCGTGAGCTGAGTCCTTGCGCCTAGATTTGTAAGCGCATAAAGACTGTGCTTTCTTCTACTCATGGGGTTGTGATCGCTGCATGCAAGCTGCCCCAAAGGGCCACAAGCCACCCGCATCTCCGTCCTCTGAAGAAGCGTGGCAGATAACGTCCAAGAGAGCATGGCATGGAGGATGTGGAGGTCAGCCCGTAGCTGGTAATTAATTTACTCTAGCAAAATTGAATATACCATAACAATCTGTATATATATATATGTATATGTACATGTATGTGTATATATATATATACATATTAGGTATATACTAGATGGCAAGATAGTATACTATACTTTGTGGTACAACATTTCAGCACATCCGCGAGCTCTGAAAAGCTCATTTCGCCAATGGGCAAGGAGTGGAGTGATATCCAGCATCGCATTTCCCTATTTTGGAGTAGACCCTGGAAAAAAGGAAAATACTTTTTGGGTAGGAGTAGCTATAGTAGGAACCCAGAACCAAACAAAGTATCAAAGTACAGAACTGCAATGCCACATTAGTACGCAATGGCCTCCATCAGCAAGACATCATGAGCCACCCGGATCGATTCCAGATCCTGGAATGCTCTGGCAGCTGACAGAATATGCTCTGGGGCACAAGGAATCTGACTCAACCTACACTCAACCTAAACCCTAAACCCTAAACCCTAAACCCTAAACCCTAAACCCTAAAACCTAAACCCTAAACCCTAAACCCCTAGAAAGGGCCGCAGGAAAAAGCGTGGCCAAAAAGGAGTCCCAAGTGTCAGCGCGCAGCGCCCGGAGCTGCACTCGCCGTGCAGCAGCCCCTCCGTAGAGCTGCAGCGCCCACCTCGTAAGGGATTTTGGGGTTTCAGGGTTAAATTTAGGGTTTTAGGGTTTGGGGTTTAGGGGTTTAGGGTAAGGGTTTTGGGGTTTCAGGGTTTTAGGGTCTTAGGGTTTAGGGTAAGGGTTTTGGGGTTTCAGGGTTTTAGGGTTTTAGGGTCTATTTTGGGGTTTAATTATGGGGCTTAGGGTTTTTTTCGGCTTTCAGTTTAGGGTTTTTAGGGTTTTGAGAGTATGTCGCTGCACTTGGCTGCATGCTCCGCAATGGCGCCTCTCACAGAGCAGCAGCACCAGCCGCCTCCTCTGCACCATAAAGCATGCTCAGGAGTGGGGCAGAGGGTGTCATTGACCCGCGTAGGGGTTGAGGGTTTAGGGCTTAGCGTTTCGAGTTTAGGGTTACTTAGCTGATCCAGCAACTCAGTACAGGAAAACAAGTGGTCGTGAGGGAAGTCAAAAGCCTGACCAGCAGGCAGGCAACTGAACATGACGCGTTGGTTGCCAAGGCGCCATGTGAAGGAAGTGAATGCTCGACTAAGCACCTGTTCAGTGGTTTAGGGTTTAGGGTTTAGGGTTTAGGGTTTAGGGTTTAGGGCTCCACCGAAACAAGCCGGAATGTAGTTGAACCGAGATCCGGTGTCTAGGCTCACACAGAACGGCATAGCCTCACAACACTTTTGCACTGAAACACGTGCATGTCTTCCATATTTGCGTGTACTTATGCTAGTCGTTGGCTGGCAGCTGGCATCGGGTAACCCTAAGCAAATGCCACGCCCCGAATTCTGCTCGGAAGCTGACCCTTGATTGAAAGGAATCCTTCAGCCTGGATCGCAGCGCACGAGAGACCCTGCCAGCCTTTCTTGCGAAACACTGACCTCCGAGAACCGAGACCCCTTAACGAATCCCAGAAAGCTCGAGCTTCCACGGAAGATTTCGAGTACCGGCAAAGCCAAACCACGGTATCGAGGAGCTTCATAAGTAAGAGGCCCCGTGGATCTGTGAATGGACAGCCTCGGAACTTGCGAAGAGCCAGCGATCTCCGCGCGTGTTGTCCTGGCTTTGAGGTCCACTGCAGTTGAGACAATGGTCAAAAACCCTAAACCCTAAACCCTGATCGTGTCAGTCCATATGAAGCTGTGGCTTTGCAGTAGCAGAATCTGCACCATTGTTGGGGCACGATTTAAAGAATGATCATTTTGCTCCTTATTGGCTTTAAGCATTCATAAAGATGTAACACGATTTTCAACAATGACCCAGGGATGTATATATATATATATATACATATATATATATATATATTTGTACACATGCATCTCACACACACACATATACATATATATATATATATATATACACATATTGAACCTCAAAGATCTACGTGCACTTCGAGCTCCTCGAAACCGCAGCACACAAGGCCAACGTCAGCTGGACTCTGTGAGGCCCTCCAGACAAGACAAAGATTGTGAGACAACGCCCCCCTTGGTTGGGGGATCTACTGGTTTTTTTCGGGCCTTTAGGAACTAGGGCTTGTTTAGGGATTGTAGGGTTTGTGGCTTGTTTGGGATATTTAGGGTACTAATCGCTCACACTCGGGCAGGCCAGGCGAATCACACACTGCCCCGTATGCTATGCAACCCCCGGCGCATCTGGCCAAGTGGGCGTTGGTGATACACAACATCTATGAGTACAACAGTACCTGCTGCACAAATTCCATGAAGATGACACACTGCAAAGTCCATGAAAATAACACACACAACTGCCAAGTCCATGAAGACGACACACAACTGCAGCTAGTCGCAGCTAGTCCCTTCCCATCCCAAAGGCCGTCGGAGCTGGACAGCAGCTGCGCTTTGCGGGCAAAGCCTCTGGTATACTCTCGCTCAAGGCATTGCCCGGGTGGACTGATAGGGTTGACAGTTCAAAGGATGTAAAACTGGTAAAGTCCCGGGTCCGACAACTTGCAACAACCTTTCCAATTTTTGTCCGACTCGCAGCGGAACACATCGCCAAGAAACGATGCAGGCAGTGTCCACGAAGTTGGCGTTCTGCCAAGGCGCAGGAGAATTGGATGCTCAGGAGCACAGCTTCACCTACCTATTTTTTTTAGACGAACGGATGTCTGCACGAATGGCATGGCTGCAGGAGTTGTATCGCCTTGTCCAAAAGGGACCTTCGCTTCTCCAGGCTTGTGAACAGCGAGGCCGCTACCCGGGCGTCAAAATTTCGCACTGCGTGGTCCGTGCACTGACATGATTCGAGAGTTCAACCCTGCGCAAACCCTATCTGCGTGTGTAGAAGTCGAAGGGGCATAGTTCGAAGGGGCATGCCCACAGCTGGTTATACTAGGTCGTTGAAGGTACCGCGGTTGGCATTAGGCGCCGGTTTGATATGTAAGTTGCGGCGAGACCCTGCGTTCGCAGCCTCATGTTCTTGTAGGTCGCACAGGTCTTCACTTGCGTTCGCTCTCTTTCCTGGGCCTCGTCGGAGGTTCAGTGTCGCTTTTTGACGTTTGATTCCGGTTCTTTGACAGTCCGTTAGATACAGCTTCCCAACCACGAGCACGTATCCACTCTCGAAGCCGCTGACAAAGCTGAGGAAGCATCGGCCACAAAAAGTCATCTATCAGGTGTCTTGAATTGGTCCTGCCTGTAGAAACCACGTCGCACCCGCTATCAATCACTCAAGGGAGTGGCCTCTTACGACGATGCAAGCCTCCTAAACTTTTTAAGCAACGGGCTTAGAGGTTCCCTCCGAAAACCCTAACCGCTCTAAACCCCAAACCGAAAACCCGATAGCCCCAAAGGACCCCACGCTGCCTCCACGAGGTCCAGTCATGCCTGGGGAAGCCTTCCTTGAGTACCAGGCGAGGTGGCAGGGGCCTGGGAAGTGCTTCCAGTGGCCGGCCCTGGTGGAACCTGCAGGGGACTGAATCCGAGAAGCGAAAGAGAACAGAAGTACGACGGATATGGGGGTTCCCGAAATGAGGGGTACCTTCTTGGGGGTCCTCTTTACAAGGGGATCCTAGTATTTGGGGGGTCTATACTAGGGGTCCCCTATTTTCGTAAAGACCCAAAAGCAGTGGAGCAACCGGGCCAAGATGTGCCTGTTGTTTTTGGGGCGAAAGATGCCAAGGCCCGAGGTTTCTCACTTGTTTTTCCCTAAGTACTATAAGGTAGGCATAGAAACCCTAAACCCTAAACCCTAAACCCTAAACCCTAAACCCTAAACCCTAAACCCTAAACCCTAAACATAGGTAGGCCAAGGAGCCAAAGCAGATCTGTAGAAAAGCAGCGCAGGCGGTCTTCCAGGTCGGTGAGAAGCACGTCCGAAGGCACCTCCAAGGTTTCCTCCTTCCTCGAAATCTCGGAGAAGTGCTGAAGGTAAATCTTTGTTACCGGGCCTGGCATGGCTCGATTCGCCGAGGGTCTTCTGGGTTTAGGGTTTAGGGTTGAGGGTTTAGGGTTTAGGGCTATGAAAGCTGCTGGCAAGCAACACGCGTTGGCTTGGGATGTGTTGCTAAGGGGGCTGGGGTTGCGAAGGAAGGGGATGAGTCGGGGCTCGGGTTCTATGTTGCACGCGCAGCCCTAGGTTTCAGAGCCGCGCCTGCGCAATGCACCTGTGAGCTGTGAGAGCACTTACCCCACTTCTGAGGCATGACATAGAAAGACCTTGGTCATAACCCTACATCCTAAACCCGAAACCCTAATCTTCCGGGGCCCCCTTGACATTCTAGAAAGCGTTCAGCAGGCGGTCTGGCTGGCATGTCAATCCGGCCCGTATATCCCACAGTAGGTTTAGGGTTTAGGGTTTAGGGTACACTTTTTCTCAGCAGTCGGCTATGTCTGGCTGAAACCGCGGCAATCCGGACCCCTGCGTCATTCTGTCTGGCCGGGGGAGCACCCAGACGGTGAGGGCTGGGCTTCTCACAGCGTGACAGACTGCTGCACAGCATGCATGGAGGTTGGGCCGAGCCTAAGCATGCTAGGTGCCGGGTAAGCCAGTTGAAGCTAGCTTTGCAGTTGTGATCTGATGCCCTTACCGTCTGCGCACTGCCCGCTTCTGCGAGCTTCTCTTATGTGGCCTCTACCCATATGACATGGGGACTCCGTCCACGAATTCCTAGGGCCCCAACCCCAACAAAAGGGAAGCATGTAAGAGAGAACGCACCCGGCCCGTGGTGTGCGGGTGCCGCACTGCCCCGTAGCACACTAAACCCTAAACCCTAAACCCTAAACCCTAAACCCTAAACCCTAAACCGTACATGCCTTCTGCAAAACTGCTCAACGGCACAAGCAGGGTACAACAAACCTGGGAGTTGGGGCCGAAGGCTTCTGTTCCAATGATGGAATGCTGAACTCAGGGCTTCGGCTCCTTAAAACAGATACTCCGGACCCACATACATGCATACATACATACATACATACATACATATGTATATATATATATGTATTGCTTTAAAAATTCTATTCAAACAATATATATATATACACACATACATACATATATTTATATTTAACAATATAGGCCGGCTGTGTCGGCTCGACTTGGAGCTGCCAAGGTCACAGCGGTTATCCATGCATTCCGCAAAGATTCGGGTAAAAAGGAAGATGGCAGTGCACACAAAGCAGAGGAAGGCAGGATGCCATGTATGTACAGCTAAGCCGGTCCACTGCTTCACTTGAGAGCTTGCCTATGATGTCGACTTCTACACTTGACTCCTGTGTCTCATGACTGTTAGAGAACCCTACACTTCCAGGGACCTAAGAGTCGTCGAGCCCTTAAGGGTTCGAGAAACCTACGTAGTAGGTCTCTGAAAGTCTAGGTTATAGGCGGCTATAGGAGTTCTAGTAACCCAAACTACCCTGGAAGTATAGGGTTCTTTTAGTAACCTCAATTACCCTGGAAGTATAGGGTATAAGATTCTAGTAACCTAAACTACCCTGGAAGTATAGGGTATTCATGGGTATAAGCTTCTAGTAACCTGAAGTACCCCTGGAAGTATAAGGGTAGAAGAGTCTTCTGACTTGTTTTGCAAGCGGGTCGGCGCCTCGCTGGCATCCGCCAGCTCACCCGATGCAGCTCAAGGACCCAACAAGTGTTAACTTTAATTTTCGTTCCATTCTCATCATGTATCTGATGCATAAGATGGCAAAACGCATTATGTAGGATAGATATATGAGTTATGCGAGTCTTTGGAGATTCCTCAGCATATGATACTGTACAGAAGATGGCACAAACATTGTATTATGTACGATCGTCAAAACGGTTCTTTTGATGTTAAACACCTCGGCCAAGAAGTAAAACTCCAGCCCAAAACGCACTCTGAGGTGCGATGGCACTCACCCGACGGCATGTTTGCCATTCCTGGGGCATGTTCTGTCCCCGCGGAGTTCAGCACAGCGGGCTGTCTGCAGATTTACCTGCAGGATTTTCTTTTTGCCACCCGACTAGCCACGGCAATGCAGGATTTAGGGTGTAGGGTTTAGGGCTGCAGGGAAGCAACTTGGGGTTTGAGATTCCTAGGATTTCTCATGTTTGGGGTGAGCCATGAGGTGCCGTAGTGTCTTGTCTGCCGCAAGGCATCACACAGCTGCAACCAGGAGCCTCACAGAAAATACTCCAACTATCCCAAGAATTCAACCTTAGTAAAATCCAAGCTTTTCAAAGCAAAAGCTCCTGAACCTCCGAACTCGCATCTATGCGAAAACTCGAAGCCTGCTCGTCCTCTCCTCCGCTGGAGACTTGCCAAGCAAGCTGCGGTGAGTTTGATGAAGCCTCAACGCCGCCTCAACGCCGGACAAAAAGGACAAATTTCAAAGCAGTTGGGTCCAGTGAAGCTCTTCGTGACACAAGGCAAAACGGCAAATGTGATGCTTCTGACAATGGACGAACACCATGTCACATGAGCTAAGCTGCACATACTATTCGACTTGAAGCGGGAGAGAGACAGAGAGGCAGAGTGAGAGAGAGCGGGAGACAGATAGAGAGAGAGAGAGAGAGAGAGAAAGCTCGATCTCTGAGGCCAACGCGCAGAGGCCACCTTCCAGCAGCGCGACTTTCAGCCATCCAGATATGCTTCAGCCGGAAGTGATTACGCATGCGAAGCCAAGTCTGTCTCGGCAGAACTATAGTGGCAAGACTTAAACACCACCGCCCGTCTTGCAGCTTAGCCATGCCACCTGCTACCGCCATGCCACATGCGATGCTTCGCAAAATCGCTGCGAGCTTGATTCACCCGAATACCCTGTCGCCTCCAGTGAAGGAAGGCCAGGTGGAATTCCGGTGGGAGGTGGTGTTGGGCCACTCCCAAAAAACATCCCCATGGTCAGGACCTCGGGAGTTCGGCAATGGGTCGGCACCGACATGCAATGATGCACATGTGCTGCACTGCGCACCTAAGGCATCTTCTCCATGGTCACAAAGCTCAGAGCAAATGCCCCTAAACCCTAAACCCTAAACCCTAAACCCTAAACCCTAAACCCTAAACCCTAAACCCTAAACCCATGGAGCCGGAGTTCTGGTCCGGAAGCCGGTTCTTGGATCCCAGCCAGCACCAAAGGTGGAAGGTTCTCGTATGGTCCGGGCCTTTCGAAAACTCCGCGCAATGGTTAGCGGTTTAGGGTTTAGGGTGTGCAGATGACTTTGTGGCAAGCGACGGAATGCACGACATGTGCCCTGAGCCCAACATGAACCAAGACACTCCACTTCATGGCAGGTACTCCCGCGTTGCCAGAAGCACGGCTGCCCTGACGCAATTGCTGCCCCCCCCCCCCCTTCCCAGAAGCACGAGGCACAGAAACTGCAAAAGGACCCAGTCGAACTACCTTTATGGCTGGCAATGGATAGGATACCCTAAACCCTAAACCCTAAACCGTGTGGACCCCTGTTGGCCTGGCCGACATATTATGGCAAAACCAGGCTACACGAAGCACAAGATGCGCTGGTGCAGCACCAAGCAAAACCCGAAGCGGGTGTGTTGGCAGATGCTTGAAGCAACACAGGTCAACACAAAGGATTTCATTCATGGAGCACACTACACGAGCGATGCCGCGGCACCTCGAACTAGAGCTGTACAGTGCGCAGTATGGTTGATTTTTAGCACAACAACAGGGGAGGCCTTGTCCCAGCTGGCCAACAAACAGCTCCAAATGTCCCTCCTCCGACGGTGAGTTTTGTGGGTTTGTCAGCTTGTTTCTCAGTCTCTCTCTCTCTCTCTCTCTCTCTCGAACCTCCCCCCATTGGAGGAGGCCGCCCGAAGGCGTGCGTCACAGGTTACTACGGTGTAACGCTCTTTCTGTCTTGCTTGCTTGCTTGAGAGCGTATGACCCCCCCTCTCTCTCTCTCTCTCTCTCTCTCTCTCTCTCTTTTTCCTCTTCTTTTTTCTTCTACCCAGCGGAGAGGCACCCGGACCCCGGCCAGGACCCTCTCTCTCTCTCTCTCACTTGTTCATGTGCTGCGGCCTCCTGTTCTTGTGGTTGCACAGGTGTCACGAGGCATGCGCTCGTTTCCGACCATGTTTGCAACCATTCGAGACGTCTCACATGTCGGCTGATACGCCTGATGCTCCTTGCACAGTGCAAACCTTGCAAAGTAAAATGCAAGCAGCTGCCCACTGAGTTGCAGATCCGTCCTTGCTTTGGCCTGGGCCAGGATTGTGTCTACACTGGGAGAACAATGCCTTGCGAATTCCCTGCAGGCACTTATCACTTGGGATTGCAAGACAAATAGGAAGTGCTCGAGAGCAGACGGCCAAACATGGGCTTAGCCCGCTAACCCGCACCTCGCCATGCCGAGCTTGCATCTGTCTGCACCGCACCACAACAGCTGACATCTCTTTTTCGGAGTCCTTTCGGGCTTGGATCAGGCTCTTCTGCGCAGACAGTCGGACCCAGACAGACTCACAAGACAAAGACAGCGATAGAGATAGAGAGAGAGCAAGAAAAAGCAACAATAACCAGATACACTTGAGTGTCTTATCAGAACCCAAATCTACGGATGCCCAGCTTCGCGGAAGCCTGAGGCTCCGGCTAGCCTCGTGGGCAGCTCTGAAGGTCAAACTCATCTCCTTGCACGGCTCAGATCACTGCAATGCCGGACTTCCCCCTAAACCCTAAACCCTAAACCCCAAACCCCAAACCCCAAACCCTAAACCCCAAACCCTAAACCCTAAACCCTACCCTAAACCCTAAACCCTAAACCCTAAACCCTCAACTCCAAAGCCCAAGCCCGACAAGCTCAGTGTCGCACGTGGCTGCCCTCAGCAAAGGCCATGCGACAGCTGCCTCCGACTCCCTGCTGTGCAGGGTCGCGCAGGTCCTCCTCCCAAGATGGGTTTGGGGTTTATAGGGTATAGGGTATAGGGTTTAGGGTTTGTCTTGCAGATGCAGGCTCTAACACACTGATGAGG